GTAGTGCTTCCTCTGTCAATGCTGCCGTCCCAGTCCGATAACTAGGCAGCATAGTCACCTCTTGTGTCGGGCGCGATAGCGCATTACTGCCCGCGCTAGCCACCCGCACCATGATAATATACCCTTTTAGATACCTGAAAATTTGCAGTTTCCTCACATATTTTATTTATATACCTATTTACAATGGAGTCATTCGTCGAGGCGAACGTCAGTGGCCTTTATTCCTTTTATTTACGCAAGTACTGATTGTCAAGAGGAAAAACTCCGCGAAGGTAGCAGTTTGCTATTCTTCGATTTTTCGCTTATGCATCGTTCATTTTAACTTTTTAACCTCTGTGTTCCTAGTTAGTTTCTCTTTTGAATCTGAAGTTTCTAAGCGAAATCAATGGGCAACTGCTTCCTTACTACCCTTGATTACCAATAGGCCACCAGTGCACTGATTGCCTGTGGGCGTTTCCAATGTGTAGCCCTTCGTAAACCTTCGATCGTACTTCGTAATTTAGAACAATTTAGCCAATATTCTTTTCGAGAGGGCTCAATCGGGTAGGTTTTGTCAAAGGGCGATGAAGTAGAGAGGCATCACGCAGTCCAGGAACTTTGACAGTCAACGCCAATTTCCTGCAACCCGTTGTCTTTCTTCTTTTGCTTTTGTGGCACAAGCTTGCCGAAGGCATCTGTCCTCGTCGCTGGCGAACATAGTTGTTTTCGTAAATGCATCCTAGCTATTTAAGTCCAGCTTACCCTGGGCGTGACGGCTGCCTGTCCAAAGCTAGGACAAACTATCGGCTTTCTGTGCGCTTACCGAGTGACTGGTAGGCCATTTTAATAGCCGGAACTGTGTGCCGAGAATAGCAAAGGAACCAGGCAAAGCAATGGTTCGGAGGCTGGGCATAATCTAGACAGATTTTCGTTTTGGTCGGCGAGACTTTGGATGCGTATATTGTCTCGCAGAACTTAATTTCTTCCCCATCTAAACTAAACTCTCTACTTTCCTGCATTCATTTTTCTTGCTTTCTGTTGTCTCCAGAACAGAGGCGTGCCGGAATAAAACATCGTGGTTAATTGTTATGCCTCTATCCCTACACACGGTTTTGCATATAACCATTCTCTGCGAATTGTTTTATAAAGGCTCACATTAAAGGATATATTCGCAGACATTAAAAGGCAAGGATTTTGAACGACTCTACTTCGGGTCTTCCCGTTTTCGCTAGTACCACGTATAGATTGAGCAGATGAAGCATGTAAAGAATGCCTTATTCTAATAAGTGCCGACAACTTTCTCTTAGGAAGTACAGGGGTAGTTGTCGCTTTCGTTGTAAATTTAATTATTATCATTCGAGATCAAGGAGATGAGAATAGAGCCAATTCGTCCTTCTGCATTTTCAGGTTTAGTACGTGTTATCTTGAGGAAAACAAACAGACCAAATTCGATTCTTCCTTCGTCCATTAACACGGAATTTTTGCGAAATATTGTTCGAGATGATGTTCTGTGATTTCACTTAAAAAATAGCACTGCAGTGTGCTTGCTCTTTTTAAAACCAAAAAATCGTTTATACGTAATCAATGGTGGTTTCTCAGTGCAAGTGTTTTTCTAAAAAAATTGCAAGGAACTCTTGTTTAAAATCTCATCAACCAAGAGTTGTTGTGCTCTGTTATTAGTTAGGTCTATTTAAGGTCTGTTTTTGTTATCTCGATGAAATTACCTCGCTACTTCGCGGGATTTTTTATACGCGTGTACGAAATATATCAGTCTTTTTTCGGATTAGGTGTGTAACTTTGGTGAAGTTTGAATGCCTCTCATAGGTATGTTATGACAGTGTTGTTGGATTCTCGCTAACATTCGTGCCGATTTCTTTGGAAACCTTAAAAACAATATAAATACACATCTCTTTCCGATACAGACGAAGATGCGGTCCTGGGAAGTAATTATGCAGGCTTAGACGCCATCGCTAGAACAATCATTTTCGCCCGACGTTTCTGATTTCAACTCTAACTCAT